GCTCGGAGCTCTCAGGGGCTGGAGGGAGAAACGTGGAGCACTGATTCCCTCTAGCGTGGAGAATGCAGGGCTGGGACGAGGATTTCAGCCCTTCCTCGCTTCACCCACCGAGGCAATTTACCCTTCCCTGTGATTTCAGGGAAAGGTGAAGTTATTTCTGTTTCACTGGCGTGGTCAGCACTGACAGGGATTTGTCCCTGGGTCTGCAGGACACCGTGGGATTTGTCCCTGTTGCTGAATTAAACCCAACTATGGGGGTAGGTGGGATGTGAGAAGGTGGGAGGGGGTTATGGGCTGTCCTGTGTAGCCCATTCCCGCCGCTCCCTGCTCTGCAGGGATGCTGGGATGGACACAAGGAGCGTCGGGTCAGATCCCTGCGAGCTCCCATGTGCTGGTTTTGTGGTTGGGAGGCTCTGGGGTGCCTGGAACCTGGTGCAGGATCCTCAGCCTCCACCAGTGGGTGCTGATGGAGCGTGGCTGTGCCCGGCCCAGGGAGGGCTGTGTGGGACAGGGATGCTCGCGGTCCAGCCGCACAGCCCGCAGGATCACGCTCTCCCCCAGCCCTGCCAGGGGAGAACTGAAGCTCCTTTCCTTTCCCCAAGAAGAGTCCTTCTTGATATACTTCAATAACACCCCGGAGAGCAGGTGATGCAGGTGGAGACAGGAAACCTCCCCGGTTCAGTTGGCCACGGGCGCGTGGGGGATTTTGTAACGTCTCTCTCCAGTCCAAAGGCCATACCCCATAAATCAAATGCTATCTCCAGGGCTTGTCTTCCCCCAAGAGGGGAATAAACATTGGCAGCAGGACTGGAGGAGCACAGCGAGGATGAGAGCAGGAGGATCCTTCACTGATGGCCACGGAAAAGAGGAGCAGCGTGTCTGCTGACAGCCAGGGGTGATCATCTCTGGTGGGGTACAAGCAAACCTGCCTTTGCCTGGTGAGGGGGATCTTATTTCAAGTGCTGATGCTGTGATCCATCCCCTATTTTTAATAAGGAGGATTGAATTCTCTCTTGCCTGCACAGCACATCCCCAAAGCCCAGGGTGTCCAGGTGATGGGCTTTGCTCCCGTGGCTGTTTGGGGATTAAAAACATGGAAATACTATTCCCCCCCGCTGTTTCATTGACCACAAAATAATCGCCAAAAAAAGTCACTCACAGCTTTGTTTGGGGCCAGGAGAGGGCACTGGTGCCCTGTCTGTGGCCAGGAGGATGCCCGGGATTCCTGTCCAGCTGGAGATGCCACCTGGAAGAATCTGCCTCCCTGAGGCTCCAGGACAGGCTGCTCGGCTCTGGAGGAAGGAAAAGCACCAGGAAAAGCAGAGAGAAAAGCCCAGTGTCGGGTAAACCTCCTGATCCGTGTCCAGAAAGTGCTGTGATGTGGGGGAAGGAGAGCTCTCGTGGTCCCCAACCTTTCAAGCTGGCCGGGAGCCACCTCGTGTTTGACGCAGTGAAGACACCCGATCGCCTCGGCCTCCGGGATGGGGAAAACCCAGACAAAAACACTAGAAAACGGAGCAGCAGCTGCCCAGGAACGCCCCAGGGCTCAGGGCCTGAGTGGCTGGAGCTGTGGATCAGTGGCAGGAGTCCAGCCCCTCCAGCAGCTCCACAGGAGCTGCCTGTGCCAAGCACCCCGTGTCACCTCGCCGCTTCCTGGAGCAGAAATCTCCAGTCCTGAAAATGTCAGTCTGACCTGGGAACTTCCCCCCTTCCACCTCTTCCCCCAGCTTCCCTCCACTTTTTCCTTGCTGGAGCTTCGTTGAAGTCACCCACCCTTTCCTCCCACGTGCGTGTCCTCTCCTGAGGATGGGGGTCCCTGCTCCAAGGGCAGCTCCAGCCCCCTGACTCTGGACTGGGTTGGAGGTGAGGCTGGAGATCCTGCCCGCCCACCCATCCCTTCGGAGAAACCTGTCTTTCCAGGGAGGCAGAGCAGCATGTGGGAAAGCCGGGAGCCCTGGAACGTGAATTACCCAGGGAGAGATGAATGTGTGATAGCTTGTACCTGGCAGCTACCGATTGAGCGTTAACGCTTTCAGGAGGGGGCTGAGGCAGCGCTGGGCCTGGGGCTGTCACAGGGATGTCCAGGCTGTCACTGGGATGTCCTGCTGCTCCAGGAGTGGTGGGGTCACCAAGGTGGCACATGGTGACACCTGGGGCCATCGGGGTGACTCGGTCCCTTTCACAGCACAGGGCTGGGGCTCTGGCCTCTGGCAGCTTCCGACAGAAGCAGCCAACATTAGGCAATCTTTTTTTTTTTTTTACCTGTCTTCCCTGGAAGTTGGTAAATACTGCAGCTTTAAACAACGTGAATAAGGAGGAAGAGCTGTCTGCTGCTTCTCCCCTCTTCCTGGGGACACAGATGGACCCTAGAGAGCCCGTGCCAGGGGAGGGGAGTCTCCATGTGCCAATCCTGCCCCTGCCCCGTGTCTTTAGCCGAGGCAGGTTCCATTTCTGCTTTTAACTTTCCTTTTTGTCCCATGCGGCCTCATTGAGGTTCGGGGCAGACTGAGGGGATGCAAAGACTCGACAGCACAGGCTGGACCACCCTGAGCAGACCCCAGGGTCATCGGTGGCCAAAACGAAGCGCTCGCCGGAGGGGCCGTTCCCGCAGCTCCAACACCTTCCCTCCAGGCTGCTGGTGCTGCTGCCCAGCCTGGCTCGATGCCTCGGCCTCTCCTACCTGTGCATGGCAAAGGGCAGAGCCAAAAGCTCGTCCATGGGGCCAGCTGGGAGGTGGGGCAGCCGGCAGAGCCCCCTTGCTCCCCCAGCCCAGCAGGCAGGTGCTGCGGGTGCATCCGCGCAGCCGAGGGCGGGCAAACCCAACCCGCCTTTCCTTCCTCTCCTCCTCTCCCTCCTTCCCACCCCACCCCACGCCCTGGCAGCGCTGCAGGGACTCATCCATCCATTCCCGAGTTACTAATATGCAAATGGGCGCTTTTGCATGGGCCTGACGCCAAGCTGCTGGGTGTCAGGGCACCCGAGGGAGCCGGAGGTGGGGCGAGGCGTGGCACCGCGCCGCATGCTCACCTGGCCCTGCATGGCAACAGGCAATGGAGCTCTAGGTCCCTTCGGGAGCGGACCCACGCCCGGTTCGAGAGGCAGCGGGTGGCAAGGGAGGGAGGGCAAACTGGCAGCCCCTGGCAACCTGGGGCTGACGGCAGGAGGCTGGGCACACCGCGGATTTCCCTCCGCCAGCAGGATGGTGAACCTGGAGTCTGTGCACGCAGGTAAAGGGCGCTTGAGGAAGGACCGGGCTGGAGCTCGCCGTGTGGCTGGGACCGTGGGCTCGGGGTGGAAATGGGGGTTGCTCTGATTCCTGCCACCTTTCCTCCCTTCTTTCCCTCCTGTTTTCTCCTGCTGGAGTGCCTGGTGAAGTGCCCACATTCCTAGCTGGGGATGGATGCTGCCCCGGTTTATTTAGGGGGCTGCCAAGCCATGCCCACAGTGTGGGCGCAGTGCTCCCGCTGCCAGCCCCGACGTGGGGCTGGCAGAAAGCTCAGAAACGTCCTGGGAAATGAGTGTTTAGTGGGACCTGTGGGTCCTGCCATTGGGATAGAGCTGGGAGGAGTGAGAGGGGATAAATTTACGGAGGGATGCAGCAAGGGTGGAGGGAGGTGTGTGTGTGTGTGAGAGATGGGACACGGGTTGGAAGGAGAAAAGTTAATGGCAAAGAGGGAAAAGGAGGGAGAAATGAATGAGGAGGGAGCTGTGGGAGGCTGGGTTGGGTGAGGAATGAATGAACAGGGATACTCAGAGAGACTCCTTCCAGGGGGGCTGATGCAGAGATAGTCTCACATTGTCTCTGAGCAGACCTTGCTCTGCAGTTAGCTGGGCAATCCCTGCCCTGGGAGCTGTGCTGAGCTCCAGCTCACCCTGAGAGAGCTTCTGCCCCCAGCTCAAGCCCCTGAGCCCGGGGGGAAGGACAACATCCCTGGGCACACGGAGCTGAGGGCAAGGCTGGGGTGGGAGCAGCCAGATCCCGCCAGCCCTGCCTGTGGCAGGGGCAGGCAGGAGGCTCTTGGGGTGCAGGAGCCACGTGCCCTGCTAGTGACCTTGTGTCTGGTGCTTTGTGCAGCTCAAAAGGCTCTGTTGGCCCCTGGGTTGGAGGGATGGGGAGGGTTCATCCATCAGTCTTGTCCAGGGCTCATTTCCTTGGGTGCCTATGGGCATGCTGTGGGTGCTGGGAGTCCTGCTGTGCAGGGAGAGCTGGGGAGGGTCTGTGCTCAGGGCTTGTAGCCCCTCAACAAGCCCTGCCTGCCTGTGGGCTCGCAGACAGGCCTGAGGGCAAGGCAGATGGTGCAGCAATGCCACTGCCTGCCACAGGTCAGGCTGGCAGAGGTGGCCAAAGCCTCTGCTCCAGGGCTGTTTCCAACCTCTCCAGAGCTCTGGGTTGCCCACAAGCCCCTCTTCCCTCACAGAAAGATTCCCCAGATTGATACTGTGTCCTCTGCCAGAGCCAGGGGCATCACTCCCAGGGTGGGTTTGGCCAGGAGCTGCACAGGGCGAAGCTTTAACCACCCTTTGTGCAGGGAGGGAGCCCAACACGGGTGAGAAAAGGTTTGTTTTTTTTTTTCAGCCTTGTGCAAAGTCAGTTCAGTATATTCAGGTCAGGGGTCCCCCAAAAACCTCGAGGTACCTTTGTACCAAGCTGCTTGCAGAGGTGTGCTCCCATTTTAACCTGGTCTTTTCCAAGCTCAGTGATTCTGTGGGAAGACACACAGAGTGCCAGGTGAGGGTGGGCTGCTCTGGCTCTGCACACCCTCCTCCCTGCTGAGAGAATTCCCTGCTGGGTACCACCATTTTGGATATTTCCCCTTTCCTGCAGCTTCCAGAGGAGCTCAGGCACCTAAAGCACGGAGCACTCAGCAGACTCCAGGTGATGGTCCCCCTCCTCCACCGCTGGATTTCATTTTTAAAGTCATCAGGCTGGTTTACCCTTGCCCATGTCTGAACAGCTACGAGGAACAAGGGCTTGGGAAAGGCTTTATTTGCTGACACCGTTTGTTTCAGCAAAAATATAGATGCAGATATATCCCCAGAGAAGTGTCTGCACTGGTAGAGCTCCTTTGGTCTGGGTGAACAAACCAGCTACCCCTACTCCAGGTATGTTTGGGAGCTGAGGTGCAGCAGCACATTTTTAATATGGCCCAGGCCGCAGTGGCGGCTCCTAATAGGGCTGTGGTTTAGGATTAGGCAGTCCTAAGTTGTGTTATTTTTCCCAGAGAGGTTTGTTGGTTAGTTTTGTGTTTTTTTTTTTTTCCTAGCCTGCTTATTCTCTGTGTGTTGCTAACCTGGCAAAGCTGTGTGCAGTTGGACTCAGTCTCACAGCCTGCATTGTCTCTCAGGGACTTTTTTTTTTTTGGATGGAGCAGAGGTCAAATCTAGATTTGCATCACTCTGTCCTGGTTATAGTGGGAGATATCAATAAATGTCAATAAAATATCAATAAAAAGGTGTTGGCTACACTTCTATCATATTAGAAAGTGATTCCTGCTGCTTGTTTTTAAGGATCATGGGAGGATGATCCAAACCTCTCAGATCAGTAGGTTTTGATAAAAAAGATTTTCCTCTCCTTCTTCTCTTTTTTTTTTTTTTTTCCCCCACAAGATATTTAAACAGCCATAACTTGTGCACGTTTCTGATGGGCATTTGGGTCTTGGTGAAAATCAAATCCTGGTGCTGTTTTCAGGGGGATCTCAGGGCATCTCAGTCATCTCCCGGCTCCGGGAGGAGGGGAGCTCGCTGATGGATAACATGTGACATTGTAATCAAGTTGCAGCAGCAATTCCTCCTTCCCTCCCCACCCATCCCAGGTTATGATGGGCGAGTGGGTGGGGGGTCGCTCCTGCAGGAGGGACTGAGCTTCTCCTGCTTTGCCTTTTCTTCCCTCCCTCAGCTCCGTCTGAGCTCTTCCAGTTCTTGGTCTGTGCCCATTCAGGTCTTGGAGTTTAAATATTTCCTTTCATTAACATGTATTTGGTGGGGGGTTTTTTTGTTGTTTTTTGGGGTTTTTTTGGTTTTTTTTTTAAGCTTTCAGGCTTTCTCACCAAAGCAAGCACCAAACTTCTGCAGGCTCTCTTAGATTTTTCTTCCTCTTATTTTATGAGAACTTGCCTCTTTTTTTTCTTTTTTTTTTTTATAAAGATACTTTTTTGGCAGGCAGCAAAACTTTGTGCTTTGTAGATTGCCTAAGTTAGGGTCCCTTGGCAGTGTTACAAGACAAGAAGATGTTTATAGCTGATGGTAATTACTCTTCCTGCAGTAGAAATGCTTTAGAAGCCCCACTAAACATTCATGTCTTAATTGCAGAGGGTTTATTTGAAGGGGAAAAAAAAAAATCCCACAACTCTTTTCTCTCTCTCTCTCTCCTTTTCCCCCTCGCTCCTTAATATAATTTGAGGGAAGGAAGTTTCTGAAGTATGTGAAAGTTTCTGCACTCAGGTATAAAATCCTGATTTTTTTTTTTCCCCTGCCTTTATTCGTTTGCTGAAGAAAGTTTCAAACATTAACTTGATCAAAGATATTAAACCTTGGCCAAAAAGCAGATTACCTGCTGTTTGAACAGGGGGGAAGTAGAACCTGAACACACACAAAGCTCTGCCTGTTTTAGTGTGAGCAACAGAGGGAAATGGGTATAAAACCCTACAGGGTCTTTCTAATCCTTTGGGCCGTTTGGAAGTAATAAAAGGTGGATAATACAGGGAAGAGGAAAAGGTTTGCATGATGCTTTTAGATGGCTTCCACCTGCCTTCCCTACCCCAAAAAAACCCACAGCAAACAGCGGCCCAGCTTCCCTGGCTGTTGTTATTCCCCGATGCAAATGGGATGAGCCTGTGGCCGGGATTGGCTGCAGGAAGAACATGCAAATCACTTGGGTCTCGATAGAAAAAAAAAAAAATTATCTCTTTTTTTCACCCCCATCTAGTCTGGAAAGAGTTAAAATTCCCGTGCAGAAAGGTGTAAGAGCCGAGGGGGTGTCCATCTGAATTTGAATAGATACTCTCCCTTCTTTCACTGGCGTGTCCTTGGCCTCTTTTAAGGAGGAGATGAGCAGTCCAGGGTGAAGTTGACCATTGCCACCTTTTTTTTTCAGCCGTGCCCGAAGGAGAAAGTGGCCCCGGGTGTGGTGGCAGCCATCACTTCAAGGGTAAATGACAAATTTGTTGGCCTTGATAAGGATGGGAGGGGGGAGAATATTCAGGAGCTTGGTGGGGGAAGGACTCCTTGGGGATGACACTTCGGAGCAAAGCAGCTCCTCGGTGGCTTGTGGGGGGTGTGAGCACGTGAGAGAAAACAGGGAAAACGCGGGGCAAACAGGGATTGGATGGAGTGCGAAAAACAAGCTGAGTTTGATGGGCCATCTTGAGGGACAAGGGAAGGGTTTGGGAGGGGTCCCCTGCCAATCCAGGTGTGGTGGAGGATGGTGTGAAAGGGAGATCACCTCAGCAGGTTTGGGAAGCTCAGGAGAGAGGCCCGTGGGGGGCTCTCTGTGGTGACTTGACCCCTTATCCTGTGAGTGAAGGGTGGGGACACGACAGCAAGTTGGGGAGGGGGGGGGTAAGGAGTGAGGGGGATGCAAAGAGCAACAGGAGGGAAAGTGCATCCTCGGAGCTGATGAATATTCTAGTGCCTGTATGTTGAGGAATCAGAAATTTGAAAGTCTGATGGTTTATTATAATTACACATTCATTTGTGCTGTTTGGTGGAAGCCACATGTGCCTGTTGCCTGGGACTGTGACCTGTTATTAAAATCAGTTGTGCCTCCTTTGGCAGAGATCAAGATGAGCGGGGATGCGGCAGATTCCACAGACACCCGGCACGAACCGGACCAGGTGGAGCCAGGTAGGGATGATCTGGGATGTGGGGGACACTGGGAGGGGAGGGGGAAGCAAAGGGGAGTGTGGGTGCTGGAAGTTTCTGCTTTGCTCGGCTCCTGTTGCTGCTCCACCGCGCTCTTCCAGCCAGCCCGGGAGTCGATCAGGAATGTGCTCTGGGCTAGGATTGCGCTGCTATCTTGATCAGCATGCAAGATCCTCTCCCTTAATGCCCTCTGTGGCTTCAGCAGGGAAATGTGCTCAGGCCTTGCCAAAGGAATAGTGGCACTGGAATGGTCTGGGTCCCGCTCATCCCACCGCACAGGGAATCAGGGAATCGTGGCAGGGACGTTTCCTCAGGCAAAACTAAGCCTTTTTTATTTTTTTAAATTTTTTTTTTTTTAATGGCCTTGTATGTGTAGAGAAAAATGGGAGGGACTTCGGGAATAATCAAATCCAGTTAGGTGGTTCCAGGAAAAAAAAAAACAAAACGTTGCTCTGCATCTTGAGGCACGATTGGGTTGTCACCTCCTCTGACGCCGAGCAGGCTCTCACTGCTCAGTGGCTGGAAGAAGCCTCAGGATTCCTTGAACAGGGAAAGCTGAGGAAGAGGGTGATGCTTTAAAGGGGATAGCACTGATTTCTGCCAGGTTACCAACGCAAAGCTGTGAGAGGCACCAGAAAAAAAAAAAAAGAAAAAACCAACATTTCTGCCATCAATTCTCCCTCCCACTGCCTGCAGTGAGCTCGGAATGCAAGACTTGAACCCGGAATTTCACAAATTTAGCAGTTATGTCCCTTTTCAGGCAGATAAGCAGCAATAAGAAATAATTTTAGCAGCCACCAGGTATAGCAAACCAAGATAATTAAAAGCTGTGCTATAAACTTAAAGATAAAACCTTTTAAAACCCCAAACTGGTAGAGAAAATGTAGAAGAATCAATTATCCCTTAGCCCTAAGCTTGGGGCAGGGGGATGTGTAAGAGCAGGTTACAACTTTGCATGGAATGATTTTACTGTTTCTCTTTCATTTATATAATTTGAGATAACTTAGGGAAGAAAAAGGAGATTTTGGTTAATCCAGAGAACTCTTAGCATGTTTTAAAGGGCCTAAACCCATCCCTTTATTTAGAAATCCCCAGCATGCTCTTGGCTATTTAGCTGGGTTATCTGACATAATCTAAGGCGGAGATAAAATCTTGTTCTATTCACATCCGTGAACTCTGATTGACTTTGGTCAGCTCAGCTTCTGCTCGGGGCTCTCAGATCACCCCGAGTTGATTTTTGAGATCAGTGTTTCCAAGCAGCTGAGCAAGGAACACATCCCAAACCTCCCAGGCTCTTCAAAAAAAAACAAACCCTGGTGGCTGTCACAGGGCCTTAAATCGGGAGCTGGAGCCTCCTGAAAGGTTTGGCACGCAGAGCTGATGGATAGCAGGGTTAATCAAGATTAGGGAAGCTGGTTATTTGATTCTGGTTATTAAATGGAGTGGGATGCTCTGGCTGCTGTTGCTCTTAGAGTCAGTAGTGTTAAAGCAGAAGGTGGCAGCGCATTTGGTTGGATAAAATATGGGGTTTTTTTCAGCCTAAGCTCCCCAGACAGCCATTAGTGTGAGCTGCAGCACCTCTTTCGAGTGGTAATTGAGGAAAGAAAGCGCAGAAGTGAAGTCAATTTGTTTTAAAATAACGAAAGCCTTCGCAGCAGCATTAGCTGCTGCTCTAGGAGCCTTCAAACCGAGCAGGGAAATCAGAACGGGTA